GGAAAATCCCTTGTTTACAGAACTCGATTCGACTTCTACGACAATTCTGTGTTGAATGCAGTACTTTGGGATATCTTGCATTATTCCCTACTGCATTGTACACAACATCAATATTCCACTTGTACAGTAGGTTACCAACAGTTTCCAGGACAGGTAGAAGTCCTTCATTTAGTGACGTCACGTACTGTGCCCACGTCTCCCACGAGAGCTCTCCTGCCCATAATCCCGTCTGCCTGCTACCGCTGTCCCGTTCCTTACCAATACCAGTATTGTACTGCCAGGCTTGAACATAATGAGAAAAAACCAATACATAAATATATAGCGTGTTTCTGGTACTGAGTCGGGACAGAGTTGGGACAAAAAACAGGGACACCGTACCTCTCTACCACCCCGACAGTACCCGTCCCTCTTACAATAACGGGACTCATGGAATAGCAAGTCTTGGACAAGATGAGATCATGATGGTAAAAATCGATCAAATGCTCTCAGCAGCAGTCCAGTTTGAGACAATGCCCATCACTCATTGTCTTTTGTGTGGGGGCAACATACCAAACCCTTCCTCTCAAGCAGAGTACTTTAGCTAACATGACTACCACAAGAAGCCATCGTCATAGAGAAGGTAGAGAACAGGAGCCCACCAGTACCATCACCACTAGATTTGAGGGCACACCACCACCCTCTCCAAACCTAAATCACACCAAGGATGATGAGTCCCAAGGCACACCAAACCCACGAGCTGGTACAAACGAACAACAAGTACAAGAAGGAGTGGTTGTAACTACATGTGCTGGTGATGACAATGACGATGATGATGATGATGACAACATTGATGATGATGACATCTGCCCAATCCTTGATATGAAGAACAAGGAAGTTTCAAGCTTAGCACAACAGAAATCTGCCCTTAGACACCTTTCAACATTCCTGGCAAAGTACTGGACCCAATCAGAAACCTTCAAGGATCTATCGGCCTTGGACAAAAAGGAGCTGTACAAGTATGTCACTGATGATGACTTGAACAGAAATCTCATTGGTGCCTTCTGCAACTACCTTTCTGACGCCAAAGCCAAAGGACACAGCAGAGACAACAAGACACTATCACACCAGACCACGCAAAATTACATTTCCCAGGTATGTGGATACTTTGTATATCACTGTCCCCACCTGTCTGAAGAGAAAGTCAACCACTGCTTTGGCAAGTCACCATTCTTGACCAAGTGCCGAGATGCTATGAGGAAGAAGATAAGTGACCGAAGTAAAGAGCATGGGATCCCTCTAGTGGTCCCAAAATCTGGTGCCACTAAAGATGACTGGATTGCAATAGCTTGGAGTTGTGTCCTTCAAGGATCTGCTGATCTTGCTGAATTTTGGTCACTATGCATCGCTTTGACCCAGTTGGCATCACGAGGTACTTATATGCTTATTGTTCTTGTTATTGCATCCAGGTGGTGTCTCCCACAGTTTATTACTTACCACTCACGCTCATCCCTAAGGCAATGAAATGGGATACCTGAAGCACCAACATGGAAGGGTTGTTGATTGCCCAGACGGTGGTCAGCACAATGTTGCTGCAGCCTATGATGTAATTAACTTCAAGCAAGCTGGGACCTCCCAGCTAATGCATATCTTTCCACATGCAACACACTGGGAGCTTGATTACCTATTTGCAGTAGCGTACCACATGGCGCTCACTGACTCTGGGTCTGACTATGTATTCCCCCGTACATCAGAAGCAGCTTTGAAGAGCAACAAGGACAACAAGAATGACTCGACCGGTGTCTCCAAGGTCTGGAGTGAAAAATTCAAACAAGTGCTTTCGCAGATAGAGAAAGTAAAAGAAGCCATGAAAGCAAGTGGTACTTCTAGTCGGCACCACACATTCACACCAAATCTCTGTTCCCATTCGGGAAAAAAGTATGCCCTGAATGAGATGGGAAGGACACTAAGTCCCATTTATCTCATTTTCCGTGCAGGATGGACCATCCAAAACCTCCACACACTCTTTGACTACCTCATCAGAGATGCCCATCATGATGTGAAGGCAGCCAAGACATGTGCTGGGTGGACAGCAAAGTGGAACGACGAGATCTGGGGTGGCTTCTCCAACTTTCTTGAAGACTTGGATCCAGCAACAACCGACCAATTTGATGCATTTACAAAATATCTCTTCCGCAATCAATATGACAAGTAAGTTCTTTCAACCTGGATGATGGATAAGCACGATGCACTGCTTCTGATGGTTGATTGCTGTTTTCTTTTTTCACAGAATGGATACACAATTGCGCCATCTGCATGCATTCAGTGTCCTGCGGTTCTACAATGATTTCACCAGCTTTCTAAAGGAAGCAGACAACAATGATGCTGAGCATACATTTGTTATCCGGGTTAAATCCTCCCTTGACGAAGCAGGGGTCAGTGATGAAGTGTTCCAGAAGTGGCAGGAAGACACCACTCTGGCGTTCAAGAAGAGGAACTTTTTTGGAATGAGCCTGAAAGAAGTTCCGGAAATGCTTGTCAATTCCAAGCCACTCCTTGAAGACTTTAAAAAACTCATTGGTGTGACCCGAATCCAAGCTGAAAGATCTGATGTCTTGTCGACCAAATTTGAGCAACACTCGACCAAATTTGAGCAACACTCAACAAAATTTGACGAACACTCCATGAAATTTGACATTCTTGGAGCACAACTTGATCGGGTGGAATCCAAAGTTGATCAACTGATTTCCCTGTTGACTGGAAGTGCTGTTGGACAGCAACAATTGGTAGGAGGAGGGGTAGAAGAGAACCATGACACCAACTTGGTATGCAATCGTGAAAGGAACAATCATCATGAGCCAGTCCCAACTTCCCAGCATGGTATATCAAACATAACACCAGTACCATGGCCTGATGAACCACGAAAAGAACTCAGATATGATACCTGTTTCAAAAACAGGTATTCGTCGGGCAAGCTTACATGCCAAGCCACATTCAAGTGTTGGTTCCAAGATCAGCTGCCAGTCGCTTTCTACAATATGGACAATGCTGCAAGGGTGAAGCACCGCAATCACTTCTCTACCAGTAAAACAGTGGTCCACATGATGTTGAAGCACTTGCCGGAATACCCTGATCCCAAAGATGATTTGGATGTGCTTGCTGAGAGAGCAATGTCAGGTATCCAGGAATACCATCACCTGGACAAGAAGCCTTCCAGAAACCAAATGGCATGTGGAAGAAGCAAAACAAGAACAAAAGAAGGTGTTCCCTCACTTTTCGAGAAAGGAGACTACATGGGTGCAACTGTTGATACACCGTTCAGTGTCAGTACACCACCAGATGTTGTGGCTTTCTTCCTTGGCCGAGGAAACAATCCAACTGGAAAGAAACGAAAGATCAGTGACGCTGAAGATGCAGACATTGAATAAGGTAGACAAATATGAATTAGATATCATATATAACTATAGCTGATTCAGAAGTTAGTGCACAGCATGTTTTTCAAGAGATTTGACAAAATCTTCCAGATGTACCATCTCGTTCAGGGTCATGTTGGTCATTGTCAATACCAGCTTCATCTCCTGTCTCTTTTTTCCCAGCAGCCTTGCCCCAAGCCACCACAATAATATCTTCAGCTTCATTTGCACTGTTGCAGTATCGGACAGTGCCATTTGGATCATTTGGATGATTCCTCCAGAAGGGAACCAGAGTGGCATGACGAAAGGCCCAGTAGTTCAATAATCTCCGAATTCAGTCGAGCAAATTTACAGCCGGAATTGAGTCCGGCCATGTTATAGCCGGAACATAGTCCGACATTTTCGCTTTTTTCATGACTCATATGATTCACTGCGCACTTCTCTCCAAGCTTCCGTTGAGACAGACATCCGAAATCACAACACTTTTTCCTCCAGACCACAATGGCATGCCTTGAGGTCCAGGAAATCATCACACTCTGAAGGAAAACTCGTGGATTGCGGGCCCTGTCTTTATCGGTTCCCTATCTATCTTGTTGGTATGATGTGGAATGGACGCATTTGCTACCTTCCCCTCTGAAATGACCGCAGAAGACACAACAACAAGGTATCAAATTCTTTTTTTTTAATGATTTTGGGATCCCAAGCAGTCCCAAGGCAGTAACGATATCAATTTTTTGGCTGAAGTTGCTTATTCTGTTATAGGAAAGACCGTGGTACCATTTGATAAGGGGTACCTGGGCTCCTACACGACGATTTTCACCCAAGCATATTGAGATTCAATTTTGTCCATCGCGCTGGATTGCATGGCCTGGTTCCTAGGAGAGGAAATTGCTGAATTGAAGAGTGTGCCAGGCATGTTTAATACATTTACTATGTCGGCAGCGGCACCTATGACGTTGAAGAATATTTTTGGGCAAAATGCTTCTGCAAAACTCACGGACTAATCCACCTTGATTGGTTCTGTTGGTTGTTTGGACTGGCGAAAGAAGTGTCATCACGATCTTTCTGCTCAATCCTGCTCACTGTTACCGTTTGCAACAAGCCACAAACTAAATGGAAACTCAATCGTGTTGCCTCTTCTACCAAAATTGACAATTTGGAGCACATCAAGGTGCAGTGATGCAATTGTTCCTCTTGTTTGGACAAGCCGGTGTGGGCGCCCAGCGAGGTAAAAACTGAAGACAATGTTGTTTCAAGCATATTTCATAGATAGTCTATGGTTGGATTGGGGATTCACCCTCCCTTTCGCCTCCATTCCATTCCAATCTACCATGATTTGTCCAACATGTTCTGTTGGGTTGCGCAACCTGGTCTGTAGAATGTCAAGAGGGCCAAGGCCTCATATGCAACATGTGCTGGAAAGCTCCGCAGTGATCATACCTACTCGGAGATCCATTCGGTTGCTTTTTATTTGCAATATTTGCTGAGATTTTTGAATTCTAGTGTTTGGTGCTTTCAGTTCACCTTCACCATGAGGGTCGGTGTGGCCGCCCTGGAGCCAACTATACATTCAACAATACACCAAAGGGTCCCTTGGATACCTATGGTTTAGATTTTCCGGGACCAAAACAATAATTTGGGCTAGATCAAGAATGATCTAGCCAATACGGGGTCAGAAAACATGGATTTTTTGCACTAAAAGTGACTTGGTATCGGTGTGGACCAATTTTCGTCAAAATTCTTCGTTCCAACGCATGTTTGTCGTCCATTGGTATGTATGGTTAGATTGGGGGGCTTGGAATGGGTGTTTTCTGCGTGCAGGCGATTGAATGGCACTCACACTGTTTTGGGGATCAATCCAGTTTCATTCAAGATTGTATCTGGAATCCTTCTCAGTCACCGAGTCGGTACCCACATACCATGACACTAACTTCAAAGTTGTCCAAATACCCACTAGTATTGACTTTGGGCGGAAGTTTTGGAGTGCTGTGCCGGTAAAGGGATTCTAGGCTAGCTTAATTTTTTCTCTCTTGCCTACAGTAAAAAAGTGACTTTGTGGAATTGCCTTCCCTGTGATCGAATCTAGCCACATTCGCAATTTGAAGTATACAGAGCTCTAGTTTGGATATATAATTATAATATTGCTGGGAAATTTATCTAATAATGTAATCGCAACAAGGTCGTAGGGTAGGAGACCAGCCTCTTTCTTTCTAGTTGCCAGAAATGAGGTTATGTAGTCATGCTGGTCAAATCAAACGACACGTTTCATTCGCTCACGCCGACCATGTGTATTATTTCAAAATTATGTCACAGTGACGTTTAGTCCTTAATTGTTCCCTAGACCTTGTAACCTTGCCGGCCAAAAAAAATGGCACTGTTCACAAAATTGGCACTGCTCACATTTTTGGGCCGGGAACCAAGATCAAGCGTATTGCCAATCTCCATCATGACCAAAGACTGGCAAAGATTCCTTGCACAGGAGGTAAACACCCCCCTTGCTTTTCATAAGCTTGTTGTTCCATCTATTGTTGGAAAGGGGGTCCAACTAGGACCGGGAAAGTGTACAACAAATGACATGTTTGCACCATCGGTCGAATTCAAGCACAACAAGGTGGCAATTGGGGAACATTTCTCCACAGCCACGCAGTTCCGGTCTTTGGTAATGATATAGTTTATGGGCGCACTACTGGATTACCCTGTTTCCAGCCTTTGCTTGAAAAGGCAAAGAGGTGGATCAGTCAACACACTGGCTCTATCACAACACTACACTTCCATTCCTACCTGAACGACAAGGATGGTTCTAATAGACTGAGCATCCATCAGGACCGCTCTACTGAAACCAAGGCTCTTTTCCAAAAAATGCAATGTCAGAGATTCGGTATCCCTTGGCTATGATTTCGGTATCAAATCTGGGAAGTTGGTTTTGAATGAGATTGTGGGAGATCCAGCTCAAGTCTCAATCTATAAATTCAAGATGAAAGTAAAATCGATTATGGACGAGGATCCGTCCTCGGATGTCAGCCACCTTTTTCCTTTAAAGGTGGAAACACCAAATGACCGGTCTGTGGAAGTTAAAAAGATGGAAGCAGAGGTCAAGAGACTCTGGAAAGAAGTTGGCGATCTAATTGAGGAGTATGTTCTCATTTCAGTGGAACTTCTGACAAAATGCCAGGACCCAGAAGCGTACAACAAGGCCACAATTGAAAAAGACTCCCACGAAGAGTTCCTCATGGAGTCGGTCTCTGAAGCCTTAGTTGCATGCATCCGCATGGGCCAGTATGCTGGATATCAGAACGGGCAACAAAAGGCCAAAAACAGTCAAGGATTGGCTGACAACAAGTGGATCTATTCATTTGTGCAGGAAGGATCTGATAAGTGGATGCAGGTATTGTCACCAAAGAAGCGTGATTGCCCTGCAATGTGTTCTATTTCCAAGCGCCAAAAAATGGATTAGGATTGAAGGGTAATGAGAGTAGTTACTAATAGTATGTTGTTTGTGTGTTCCAGTTCAACTACTTCTTGCTGATTTGTCAGGATTTCCTTACTGGAGCTAGAGTTCTTCTTGCTGATTCGTCGGGACTTTCTTCTTGCAGATTCGTTTGGACTTCCTTACTGGAGCTGGAATACTACGTTTCTTTTTTGGAGCTGCTGTAGCAGTAGTAGTAGTAGATTGTGGAGCTCGTTTCTTTGTAGGCTCTGGAACTGGAGTAGTAGGTGCTGGATCAGTAGTTATAAGGCCTGGACCTGGGGCTGGATCAGTAGTAGTAGTAGTAGTGGTAGTAGTGGTAGTAGTAGTAGGTGCTGAAGCTGGAGCTGGAGCTGGAGTTGTAGTAGGTGCTGGAGCCGGAGTAGTAGTAGGTGCTGGGGCTGGAACTAGAGAAGGAATTTGCGCACCAAAGGTTTTGTTGAGTGAGATCAAAGAATGAATTTGCTTGAACATTGTGACCTGATCCAAATTTTGATCTCCATGGCCGTTGTGATTCCCATTCAATACCCCACCAGGGTTGTTCAGAAATTTCTCAACCTCAGGACAACGGCGGGCGAAGATTTCATTAAAAATCCCGCTTAGTGTTTTATACTGTTCCCATGCAGCCCCAACGATTTGGGGAAATTCGTACAGCATCAAATGTTCCTTGGGTTGGTAGTGATCCGAGCCACTGCGTAGTCCAAGCAGTGACTGTTCCCTTGTGTATTTTATTGAGTCCAGGTGCCCGTGGATGGCCACCTTTTGCGATCCTGCCTCTCGACTTGTGATTCCCCCGTGAGGCAAATCGCCACGAAAAATGAGAGCCTCTCCCTTTTCGATCCGTACTCTCTGCTCTGGTGTACGGATGTAGATTTCTCGACCATCTTCCTCAAGAGGCACAATAATGGACCCAGGCACAAACGAGTAGGGGTCATCCTTCTTGTGCCGATCAGTAAGAGGGCCGCTGTGATCGACATGGCAGAACTGATGAATGGGTTCCTTTCCACACACCTCCCTTTCAAGGCCACCAAATAGAGCAGCAATCTCGTTTAGCTTGACCTCAAAATTATCATTTACCCGGAAGAGGTTTAGATAATTCTTTCTGTGGTATTTGCTCACAATGCTTTTCTTCCACATTGGCTTCAATTTTGTCTCTACATCCAGTACAAAAGGGGAGGCCACATCTTCAATACCCAGGCGACACACGACTGTGTACAACAATCTGGCCATAGACATCCTGTGCTTTTCGGGTGTCAGGTCAAGTGGGCGTCCGGGGAGGAGCAGATACCCACAATCGTCAAATAGGTAATTGGGATTTCCAAAGTCAATTGGTTCCCCGAAGTTGACCCAACTGGCATCTTTGTTTGACGAAACTTGTCTTGCGAGGAGGTCTGACAGAAGGGTGTTTTGATCTTCTGCCTCAAGGAACTGGCTCCAATGAGGGACTGGCCTAGGGTGATTGTTGATTGCCCGGACAGAATCATCGTAGCGATCACCAAATATCCATTCAAATGGCAAGGACAGCTTGCAGTAGGTGTGGTCTATATAGTTTTCAAGGGCTGCGGAAGGATCATGGTCGCACTCTGATGAGTGATAGTAGATCTCGTCCACGGTCATCAAAAACGATCCAAGGGGAACTGTAGCTGGTGGTAAAATGGAGATATTATCTCCAATCTTTTCATCTGGTTTGTGCCGAAAACGACAGTTGGCAATCAGCCCAAAGCGTTTTGCTTCCCGGCAACGTGTACAGAAAAATTGGATAGAATACTTGTTGTCGAATCTCACTTCTCCAACTACATTTGAATTGCCTTCCAGCGCAGCCAGCGGCGCAAACCAGGGGGGCGACTTGCTTTTGTTCCAGTCAACTGATAGTCCAACCTTCTCCATATCCTTTTTAAAAAGGACAGCAAACGATCTAAAGATGTCAGAGACTGTCATTGGCTCGTGCTGGTTTGGTTCAAGAGGATCTTTTTTTTTCTTTCTTGTCGCTGGATTATACTTGTTTGAAAACAAAGTATCCTTTTCAAGTATTCTGACCCCCTGGGGGTAGAGGGAATGGGCAAGTTTGATGGGGTCCGAATTGTGTCCATTCATGAAGTTTGCCCTTAGCGACTTGTTTTCTGCGATGACTGCCTCAAGGTTCTCTATCCCTGATGGGTATGCAGAGAGAAGAATAGGTCCATAAATGGTCTCACTGTCTCCTGACGTTTTTCCTTTTTTGCTCCCATGTTGATCTTGATCAGCCATGTTTTAGAAAAAGGTGACAGGGGTGTAAGTTGGAGATAAGAGTGGTGCTTGAATCCATTATAGTCCAACTTCAGTTGGACGTGGAGGAAGGTTCTAGTCAGACAAGGTACAAGAATTTTGTGGTTTCGTTAAACACGGGTCCAAAGATGGAGGGAGGTTGTTAAGTAGGGATCCAAAGACGGAGTAGCCGGACCATGTTCCGCCTGTAAACTGGACGGACTATATTCCGCCTGTAAACTGGACGGACTATATTCCGGCTGTATTCTGGACGGACTATATTCCGGCTGTAAGATAAGAGTGTTGCTTGAATCCATTATGGTCCGACCTTGGTTGGAAGTGGAGGAAGGTTCTAGTCAGACAGGGTCCAAGAATTTTGTGGTTTTGTTAAACACGGGTCCAAAGATAGAGGGAGGTTGTTAAGTAGGGATCCAAAGATGATCCAAAGATGAGGTGAGTTGTTAAGTAGTCCGAATCCGAAGATGATGCATGCTGCCTAAACAGAGTAACCGGACCACGTTCCGCCTGTAAACTGGACGGAATATTCCGGATGAAGTAAGTCCGGACGGATCTGGCCGGACTATATTCCGGCTGTAAACTAGCCCCAAAGATAGCAGGATTTGTTCGACTAGTTTTCCAACTACAACATGTCCAGGCAACATGTCCAGGCAAGAGTAAAGTCCAGGAGGCTGTAAACTAACAGGACAATTCAGGAGGGGCTACAAGAAGTAGTATTTTCCGTCTGTAAAGTAGCCGGACTACCTTCCGTCTGTAAAGTAGCCGGACTATGTTCCGTCTGTAAACTAGCCGGACTATATTCTGGCTGTAAACTAGCCTCGAAGATAGCAGGATTTGTTCGACCAATTTCGCAACTGCAGAATGTCCAGGCAAGAGCAAAGTCCAGGAGGCTGTAAACTAGCCGGGCTATGTAATTTAGTCGGACTGCATTCCGGCTGTAAACTAGCCTCGACCCAATTCGACCCAATTTGCAACTACAGCATAGCCATGCAAGAAAATAGGAATGTTCAGCTGTCAAGTGAGGTTCCAAGAGGTTTGATTTGGTGCTGTGGGCTACTCATAGAGAGGAAATCTGTGTACTTGAGTTTTTATGATTTGGGTGTAATAGAATTATGACAAATCCTGATTCTTTAAGACCATAGTGGCCATACGAAGACGGCAGCGGGTGATAATAGCCTTGTATTGACACTCATCTTTGAGCTCTTCCTGGAGGATATCAAGAGGCATCCCATGTTCGAGATGTTCCCCAAAGAGGACAGTAAGGACACCACAGTCCCGAGTGTTGCGCTGCTGAGGTGCGTTTAAGACTTTATTGGCAAATCTCCATTTATTAATATCCGCTGAGCTCATTGGTTGACCATGTACCGATTGATACTCATCAAGAATGTACTGAAAAACAACGCTGCGTACAAGGTAGGAGTCATATTTGTGAGAAAGCAGGGAATCATAGATACAAATTTTCTGGTGCTGGATATAGACAACACAAAGCATCCAATGGATGCCCCGAAAATTAACAGGTATGGCCAACGTATCCAATAGGAATAGATTCCCAGTGGGTAACAAGCGTTTCGCCCATTTCTCAACATTGGCATATTGGTACTTGTTGAACGGGTCACCGCTCTTGTCGATGCCACTATCAGGATTTGAGCTTCCATCCCCAAAACCAAAACCAACTGCCAGATTCATTACCCTGGTGAAGAAGTACGAAGTGAAAAACCAACACAAATTGTGTGTTACACCAGGATTGTATCCTCTCCTGACTCTGCAACACAGCTTCTTGAAAAAGGCATTAATAAGATCGTCTCTTAGCCAATCGTCTTTGAGCCGTTTCACACTCTCTGAATATATTTTATTATCAGCAGTGGGAGGGGTGACGACGATGTCCCGTGAGACTTGCCACAGACGGAAGAAATCTGCTTTCTCGTGGTCGGTGGTAACTTTCAGGCAGGAGAGAGATTCGAGTTCCAATTGGATTGGTGCTGTGGGTGTGCATTGTCTGAAGGGATGGACAATGGGTAGGACTTGTTGGAACTGCAACAGGCAGCATAAGGTGCTGTCCAGCCTCTGTTCAAGGATGGAGTGAGTGTCCAGCAAGCAAGGCTGGGGGGGCTCCACGGGACGTTTACAAGACAAGAGAGAGCGCTGTTTTCTTGAGAAATTGCTTCGACGTTTCTTCCTTTCCTGGGTGTGGGTTTGGAAAAGGTGAAGGGCCGGTAGGAGTCGACCTTGCGTGCTTGGGTGTTTCAGGCAAAGATTAAGGGCTTTGGCGACAACAGTGATGGTAAAGTAGTGTCCAGGATTAACATTAACTGCCTGCTGACGAACAATATTCAAGACTCTGCATTGCTGAACAAGTATGGAAGTTCGGAGTCCCGCTCGTTCGAGAAGTCCCCAAGAGTCCTCCAAGCAATAGTGGAGATCGGCGACAGTATGATTGTCAAAAAGGGAAGAGAGCAGAGATTGGATTTCTTCAAGAAAAATCGAGCTTGTGCGTTTTCCCCACAAGGTGCGAAGATTTTCCAACAAGGGTGATTGTTGGATTGTTTGAGTAGCGAGTGCAACCTTGAGGATGGACTCAAAGCATTCATTCTCTGTCCGGCAAGATACCATCAACTGACCTAGAAACCAGAGACAATCGTTTGGGTTTATTGCTTCCGGTGGAAGAACATGCCGGAGTAGTGCCTGGATGAGGTGGTATAAGACATACACCATCTCAAGATGTTGGAGAAAACGCTTTTTCAAGTTCTCAGGACCCAACTGCAACCTTTTGCCGTTCTTTTTTCCAATTTCAAAAGCAAGCATGGAGAAAAAGTTAACCTCATCTTTGAGTTGAACGGAGATTTCGACCTCTGTGTCCAAGGATGCCGCATTCTTGCGGCGAAGGTTGTTCCGGATACGGATGCCAGTTTGGAAGTTGCAAAAGAAAGAATGGGTATTTGCGCGGAGAGATAAAGCAATTCCGAAGGCCAGCATGACCAGGTCGTTGCCGAAGTGCTCCTTGGTGAAATGTAACTTGGAAACTGTGGTGGTGCGTAGTAGGTGCGGATGGAAGTAGTAGCATTGCAGTAGAGAGGTCCGTTGCTCCTCCAGTTTCTTGAGTTTATTTTCAAGAGTGTCTGTTTGGATATGGGGAGGACGTGCTAGTGGAGCTTCACAGGTCGTTGATGGAAGTATTGCATCAAAGGTTGTTTGGGACATTTCAAGAATTGAGTGGGCAGCGGTTGAAGGGTCTGCAGGCTCATCCTTTTGTAATGCTATCGGTTGGGAGTTGTTTGGAGTCGCTGACGTTTCTGACATTTGAGACAGTTGACTCAACATGGGAGTGAGAGTTAGAGAGGTAGGGTCGAGGGAAAGTTGGGAATCCTGAGTCAAGGGTACAGATGTCCCATTGTTTTTTGTTGAAATGTCTTGGGAAAGTTCCCAGGAAGCTTGGGAAAACATGATTGATTTTGTTGATAAAGATTTTGTTGATGAAGTGTCAAATAAAGGTGACTGTGCTATTGAATATGAGATCGACCATGCTGTCGTGCACGTGTACGATTGCTAGAGTCCGTAAGTAGTAAGGACAAATTGGCCTCCAGGGAAGCACGTCGATCTGACGATGGTAACACTCTTTTTAAGAATACGTTTGATTACAATACTGTCTACCGTCTATCATAGCTACTACTTCGTAAGACAACAA